AAAAAAAAAAAAAAAAGTAAGCCATGTTAAGGCACTGTCTTCTCAACCAAAACTGGTGTTAAAGTAACAAGTTTAGGAATTTATGAAATACAATAATGAACTTTCAACTCAACTTTTTTTTTTTTTTTGGTACCAGGGATTGAACTCGGGACCTTGCGCTTGCGCAGCAGGTGGCGAAACCACTGAGCTAAATCCCTGGCCCTCGATTCAACTTTTAACATGACATAGTTTACAAAATTCTAATTTAGAGACTTTTTTTGTGATACTAGGATTGACCCAGGTCTTCATACCTAGGTACACCCCTCAGCCCTTATTTTGAGACAGGGTCTCACTAAATTGGCTGGGCAGGACTCAAACTTATGATATTGATTCTCCTGCCTCAGCCTCCCAAGTACTGGGATTACAGGTATGTGCTGCCACACCGAGCTACAGACTTTAGAAGTATAACGGTTCAGGGCCAGGGATTTAGCTCAGTGGTTCCGGTGCCTGCCTTGTAAGCACAAGGTCCCGAGTTCGATCCCTAGTACCAAAAGAAAAAAAAAAAGTATTAACGGTTCAAATGCCTATAGCTTTCTGTACTGATAGAAAGGAAACGCGTTGTTTCATAAACTTAATTAAGAAGATCCCTAGGAAAAGTTCTCAGTTCAAGTGTCAGCACTGCAGCTCACACCAACAGGGCTTCATCCCTCTTGTCAACTAGAACCCATGGGCAGACCTTAAGGAGCAAGCAAGGTCCCACAACCACCCTCAGCAAACCCAGCCAGCAGGTGTGCTGGAGGGTGAAAGGATTTTTATTTCTTCTTAAGAGAAAACACTTTCAACAGACAACAAACCACTGGTCCCTTTTATTGCCAGTTACTCAAGTAGTGAAATTTGTGTTAAGGGAAGCAAGAAAAAAAAATGAGGACTCCATGATATTGCCTGAAAAGAGACTGGAGTAAATTAAATGGGCATATGGTGCACTGCCAAAGGAACCAGACCCGGAAGCCATGAGACACAGTGCAAGTCCCAATTCCCACTGACCACTGTGAGCTGCGGTGAGCTGGCATTCATCTCACTGGCTGTGAACTCCACGATCCCTGAAGCAGGATCTTATGAAAATAGAATTCTGAAACCATTTACACAGGATGGGCATTGTCAACTTCCAGGGCTTGGCTTTAGGTTTCAGAGTTTTTTAGGCAATATTTCCACTGTAGGAGGACAAGGTCATGATCATGCTTTCTATAGATTTTTTTTAAACAGTGTGTTATGGACTGAATGTGTCCCCCAAAATTCTTATGTTGAAGCCCCTACGATGGATGATGGATGGTTATCTGGAAGTGTTACACCTGAGAGGTAATTCAGTTTACAGAGTCACAAGGGCAGAGCTCCCTGATGGGATCAGTGTCTTTTTTACAGGGAAGACACTCGCGTGCTCTGCCATGTGAAGACAGCGAGGTGGTGGCCATCTGCAAGCCAGGAAGGACCCATCGCTAAGAGCCAGGTCTACCAGCACTATCCTGATTTCTCAGCTTCCCGAACTGAGAAGTGTATTGTTCAAGCACCCACTCCATAGTATTTTTTTGTAGCAGCCTGAGCTAAAATAAAGAATCCAATTTATAACCAGTACATGCTGTACAATGTCAGACATATTTTCCAAATGAATATATAGCTATAATGTTGTGTTTCATATTTAACAGAGTAGTCCCAACATGTATTTTCTCTTTTAATTTTACTTGTAGAATTTATATCATTATCTGCCCTACTACCACAGCTACTACCAATTGCTCAAAACTAGTCAAGCACAATAAAATATAAGAAAACAGGTGGGGATGGGTCAAGATTTTTTAAATTACCCATAATCCCAAACCCAGAATCAACCAGCACTAATATTTTATCATATTTTCTTCAAGTCTTCTGTCCTTCGCATTTTTCTATAGGTGAGATCAAACTGTATGTGGAGATATATTAATTTTTCATTACTCTTTTCATGAAATGAAAAATTCTCCCTAGTGCAGAATATTTTATTATACAGATAAACCAGTTTTCTGAAATCATTCCCCTCGTTTTACATTTAGGTTGCTTCTAGTTTTTCACCCTACAAATAAAAGTGTCATGAATAGCTTGATGCATATGTTTATGTCCATGCTTTTTTTGTTTTGTTTTGTTTTATAAGAGTAGGAAAATGTATTAGGGAATAGGAATGGGGAATAAGAATAACTCCTGAGAGACAGGAGGGGTCCCAAATGGGTTCTCCTTCGTCCATGTTTTTAATTATTTCCTTAATTCAGATTGCTAGAAGTATAATTACAAGGCCAAAGGATATCCTTTGTAACTTGTAGAGATCATTTTCCAAAATAAGACACTACTTACGACTTTTTTCTACAAATACTTTGCCTACAGGCTGGCTAATTCCGGTGGGTGCAGTGAATCTAGACCGTTGTTCTGGAACTCCTTGCTCGTCAGTAATTATGTCCTCATCTTCTACTCCTAGTTCATTGGCATACTGTAACTCTGCTGGCTTGGTTTTTCTGTAATGAGGGAGAAATTAAGAATAATGGATAATTCTTGCAGTTTTACAGACCCACATAAGGAACTCCCCATGAGTCTAATGGAGTACGGACTCAAGCACTGGTCTTGACTGAAGTAGATCTACTAGTACCTGTCCTTGCCTAAAGTTGCCTGGACCTCTGTGGAATGCAGTAACTGAACAAGATCTTTCCAGACTTAAATTATGTGATTCTCTATATAAACTGATCACTGTTCAGAGGGTCATTTTCCAATATAAATAGTAATGTCATATAACTTCCAGGATATCTCTTTAAAGAATGCTATTCTATCTTATCTTAGACTTACTTTCCTAGGCTAAAACATGGTTTTACTTATTGTTGAAATAAGTTAAAATTCAAATTCTGTTAACATGAGGAAATAAATCACAGTAGCCTATTTTATCATCTTCAATTTTTAAAGTCTTTGTTGCCTAATTTTTTTGCTGCTTATATAAAATCTTTTGTTCTTTGTTAGAGATGGCTCCTCAGGGGTTTTTGTTTTGTTTTGTTTTTGTTTTTTGAGACAGGGTCTCACTATGTAGTTCAGGCTGGCCTTGAACTCACGGTGATTCTACCTTGGCCTCTCAGTGCTGGGATTACAGGCATGTGCCACCATCCCCAGTGGCTCCTTAGGTTTTTAACTTATATACCATATTAATTTTATAAAATTTTCTGTGGGTTTCACTGTTTTCATATTTACCATGGTAGGACCAGGGATGTAGCTCAGTGGCACAGCACCTGCCTGGCAAGCACAAGGTCCTGAGTTCGATCCCCGGTACCAAAAAAAAAATTACCATGGGATTGGCTTATCTAATATTTTGTAATATTACTTGTCCTACAGATAGACAGACATAGTATCTAATAAAAACTGCTGAGAAGCTGCATTTGGGAGCTCTGAGGTAAGCACCTGAGTAACCCTGGAGAATATTTAGAAGAATAAATTATTACTTTGCCTTCCTTCGAGGTTTTTGAGTAACTGCCTCCTCAGCTGGGTCCACATCAATACCATTTTCATTTCGTAATGAAGATGGACTAGATATCTTCTTTTGGGTGAAGGAAGTCTCATGCTCTGGAAATAAAACAAGTATGTCTTCAAACGACTACAAGGTAAAAGTAATGTACATGACTTTTGTAAGGCAAGGGAACTTTAGAGTTTTAAATAGGCCAAAATTTTTTCACTATCTTACAAATCTCTAATTTTAAAAATTTTGTACAGCTAAATTCTCAATAAATAATTTGAAGTTGCAATGCCGAACAACATGGGAAAAGGTTAAGTAATGTAATACCCTACCTAGGAAGTTCATTAGAAACTCATCACTCAAAAGTTTTTGTTGGGGGCTAGTCACATAGGCCTGTATGTACCAAAATTTCAGACTCCCAGGGAAGCAAGTGCTCAACACAAATCATACCGGACAAATGCACAGTGTGAGCTACCCGAAAAATTTTGGGAAAGCTTCATTCCCAATGTAGGGACCTATTTACCATCCAAGTTTCCAAAAGCTCATTAAAAGCCTTTGTAAGAAGGGCAGTCGCACTTTCCTAACCCAAATTCCCCACACCCTAGAAATCCAGCCCTTCTGCCCCCCAGAGGCTCCTTTCCCAATGACAATCCTCAATACTGAACTTTGTCTTGGAATCTTCTCCTTTTTTATTTCATTCAACTGACTTAACAAGGTTTCAAGAGCAGCATTCATAGTGCTCGCTTCGGCCGCACACATACTAAAACTGGAACGAAAGAGCAGCATTTATAAATTCCAGAATGGAGATCTCCTCGCATCAGTCTCACCTGCTGCAGCAGCAGAATGAGCAGCGCAGGCAGGATGTATTCTGGGACTGCGGCATTCCGGCTGAAGGAAAGGTCTTCAGAGCACACTGAAATGTATTATTTGCTAGTGTGGCTACTTCAAATGCTTCTCTCTCAGAATTCAAAGCAGAGAAGTCAGCCAACCACAGCCACACTTCAGGCGTTCTCCCCCGACACGTTCACAGTTATCCTGCACTGTGTCTATTCCGGCAAACTGTCGCTTACTGGGCAGAACGCCATCGAAGTGATGTCTGCTGCCAGCTTCCTTCAGATGACTGATGTCATTGGTGTATGCAAGACTTTTATTAAATCTTCCTTGGACATGAGTGAGAAAGAAAAAGATGGCTATTTCAGTCTCTCAGATAAAGATGTCAATTCCAATGGTATAGAACGTTCCTCTTTGTATAGCAGCAGCTGGCAAGAAGAAAGCAGTTCTCCACATTCTTACCTCAGCCCAGACCAGGGAACAGGTGGAATAAGTGGAAAGTCATGGAATAAGTATAATTATCATCTAGTCACCCAGAGGAACACTCAGCAACCACTGGCCAAGCATGAAAAAGATTCCATTAATAAAGCCAAACATTTAAGATTATCACAGCCTTCTGAAGTTATTCATTTTAAGACAAGCAAACGAGGAACACAGACATCTCACTCTTCCAGCCACATCTCCCAGTCTGAACAAGCACAAATTGGTGCTGAAATGGACTCTGGTCCCGTAGGCTATCAGTGTGGTCAAGGATGTGATGCCACATCGAGAAGTTTCCCATGTGCTCTTCCCAGGACACGCAGTTCAGGTGCCCACACTGCACACACGTGGTGAAGCGGAAGGTTGACCTCAAGCGCCACCTGCGCTGCCACACAGGAGAGAGGCCCCATCCGTGTCAAGCTTGTGGGAAAAGGTTCAGCAGGCTCGACCACCTAAGTAGCCATTTCCAAACAAATGTCAGTGGATAGCATGGAGTTCTGGAAAAATAAAGCACCACTGCATTTGTACCTAGTGTCTGGAAGAAGGAAAACGGCAGCAGTTCAAAGGACAGGTTTTTTTACTCAAGATTTTTTTTTCCAACTCTTCAAATAAATTATTTCACAGAGAAGCTCAGCAACTGGGGGCTAAGCTCTAAAATTGGAGCGATCAGATTAGAGACCTCATGAACTTTCCCCAGACATCTCTGCAGCACTTGGAGCTCAACTTTGAAAACAGTGGAACCAGATAACTTGAATTCCTTCCAGCATTGCAGTTTCACTTCATTTCTCGTGTTACTCACTGTGTTTATAAGCAGGTAAATTCATAGGGCTCTCAGTGAAGTAAATCACACCCTTAGCATATGATCTTCCTTCTATAATCATTAGATCATAAGACTTAAAAACAAAAGTTTTAATATATTGGGTTTTATATTTTTGAGTAATACAATCAAAACAAACATAGTTACTGCTTATTATGTGACCATGTTACTGCTTATGGGTGAAAAAAGTGTGGTGATTCAATTTTTTAAGTGCTAGAATTAACAGTATGGAAAACCACTCAAAACAGGACAGCATAAGAGGTTTTTAACTGGAAAGGGTAAAAATAACAAGTACAGGAAGTCCAAAGTAGATTTTACATGGAAAGCCCTATGTTATATTAGAGTGTATCATTATTACTATTTATCATTTATATGGCATTTAATATTTGCAAAGTGTTCAATGATTGTATTTTTCCTTACATATCTTTAAGTAAGACAGTTATCACACATGAAAGGTGAAGAAATGGAGGCATGAAACAGTTAACCTACATAAGACAGTTAGGGAAACCATGCCAAACAGAAGTTGAAGGACCAGATTTTCTGAATCCTAGGATATCAGCTTAATTCACTGAGCTGTATTGTGTATCACTCTATTTTATAAGATGCTTTTATACAAGTAACAGTCAATTGTTTTAAAGTTAATTGTTTAGTCATTGTATGTGGACAAATCCTATACAGAATAAATGTTATGTAAAGGAAAAAAAAGAATAGCAGTCGCATCCTCACTATGCCACACAAAAGACAGGTGTAGAGTTTGGACAGGTCAACTGGGCCTTCCAACACTTCCTCCCTGGAAGCACCAGCTCCCTGGAACGCTTCAGCCTCTTCAAACCCTATTTAAACAAAACCCGTACAGCCTGGGAGGGAAAGACAGCTACAAGCAACAAAGCCTAACGAGCAGTTCTGAACAAAACAAAAATCAAACAAAAATTTGAAGTCCCAAAATACAGAAAGTTAGACTGGCAAGACTGCATCCTGCAGTGGCAGTGAGAGGTGCTCACTGGCCGTAGGTCAGGCCCTGAATTTCCTACAAATGGTCACCTCTGTTGCAGACACTTTTCATAAATTATAAAACTAGGCGTTAGTGTCCATCTCAATTTTCAAATTTGTGCCCTAACAGGATTACTAAGAGGGCAGTTTCATTAAAGTACATTTGATGCCATGATGAGATGCACCATCTCAAGATGAAGCATGTGACAGAGCCGTTCCTGTCTCTTCCTGCTTCTGCCTCTTTTGCTCTCGCCTCCTCCTCACACTCCGCCAGGCACCACAGGAGCCTGCTTCACCTGCGTCCCTGACTGCACTGCACTCTCCCGACTTCTCTGGTTGCTACCCTGCTACTCCTATAATTGCTCCATCCAATTAGGGCCTGCTATTTTTCAAAAGGACAAATAATTAGGGAAACTAATTTGTAGAAAATTATTCACAGGCTCTGACGTTAATAGGAAATAGTTAACCTTACAATTTTTGCTCCTTCCCTTTGTGTTACTCTAGCAAAATCTTTTGTCTTTTTTTAAATTATAAAAGTTATACGTGCCCTGTTACATGAAGAATCAATGGAACACCTTTCTTCCTCTAAAATAAATATCACCCTTCACTGAAGCTGGGCGTGGTGGCACATGCCTGGAATGCCTGCACTCAGGAGGCTGAGGAGGATCTTGGTGAGTTCAAGGCCACCCTGGGCTATGTCATGTGACCCTGTCTCAAAACAACCAAACCCTGACACCATTAATAGTGCTACATACTTCACTCTTTTCACTACATATAAATTTGGACACTTCTCCATGGCTCACCCAGACACTCCCAGGGGTGTGCTTTACCGTTAAGATTCTTAATCCCCTGACATGGACATATCATTTCAGTCACAGTTAACAGTCACGGTTTCCAATTACTGGACAAATCACATCGTTAGGATTTGGTATGTGCCCATTTCTACTCTTGTAAATAGTATTGTAGTTAGCCTCATTTAATTATCATAGCTGTTACAATTTCTAGAAATCTGGATAGGCTGCATCAATTTATACTCATCTCTTATCAGTGTATGAGTATATTCATTCCCATCAACACTGGGTTTTCTAATTTGACAAAAAGCACTGGCAACTGGATAGACAAAAAAAAAAAAAAGACACAGTATTCTGTTTACCTCGTGAACAGTGCCTGGACATAGGAAAACAATGTTGGCTACTGTTTCCTTACAATATTGTTAATACAGAATCTATCCTTTCTCCACTATCTGAAATGTCCATTTCATCAACTAAATTATTATATACACTGCGATCTGCACTATTTGTTTTAGTCCTGAATTTGTACCCTCCTCTCATAACTATGCACAATGACAAAAAGAGACATGGAAAGCACTCTTGAAGAATCACTGGAAACACCATATATAGGCAATGGATGAGGGGAAAGGGGACAGACAGGTTTTTATCACATTCCCACATCACAGTGGACCATGAGGCTAACTGTGCTTCCCTCACATACCAAGAGGTGGCCTTGTTTTCTTCTGCCTCCTTTGATCCTCTCTGAGCTCTGCAGGTGGGAGCTCGTTGCATACAGGTGTCCTATGAAGAACAGGCTCGGCAAGGCCTTCCAAAGAAGCACTACCTGCAGAAAACCACAGTAGAAAAACATGGGGCGACTTGAGCAAAGATCATTGAGCCTTAAAAAAAAAGGGAGAGGGTGAGGATTTAGCTCAGTGGTTTCACCACCTGCTGCGCAAGTGCAAGGACCTGAGTTCGATCCCCAGTACCAAAAAAAATAAAAAATAATTTTAAAAGGGAGAAAGAGCTGGTTGTGGTGGCACACACCTGTGATCCCAGCACTTGGGAGACTGAGGCAGGAGAATCGCTACAAGTTCAAGGCCAGCCTGAACTACATGTGAGACCCTGTCTCAAAAAACTAAAAAAAATTTTTAAATAAAAAATTTTTTAAAAAGGGAGAAAAGTAGCTGGAATGTTTCCTAAATAATTACACCTTCTCTTTTAAAATTATGCCTCAATCTTGCCTTCCCCTCCTCATCTGTTATTTTGGACTTTAGGTAGAAAATAGAAATAAGAGAACAAGAAAGGTTGAGGAAAAAGGGCAGGAGGAGCAAAAAGAGCAGTAGAAAAAAAAGAGAAAATGTCTTCAAAACGTTTAGAACTTTCAAAAAGGCGAAAATATAATATAAATTGACACCATAGATAATCCTCGTATTTGTCTCTTGCCTTAACAATTTCTATCAACCCTACACTGTTCAGTCCTTCATTAACAAATTTTTTTTTTTGGTACCGGGAATCAAACTCGGGACCTTGCACTTTTGAGGCAGGCGCTGAAACCACTGAGCTAAATCCTTGGCCCTTCATTAACAAATTTAACGCATGATAAACTCATCACAGATAAATAATTGGAGTTAACAATTTATAAATCTCTTCATTTGGTCATTCATTTCAACCTTATAAAGTCATTTAACAGAACTTCAACACATTTTGACAGATCTGAATTTCTATTTTTTTTTATTTCATTTGACTACATTTTCTGACCTATCTTCTTCATGAAAGAAGAAACAGAAACGTATTAATAAACAAATGAAAATATACTTAACCTCACTAGTATTTAGAGAAATGCAAACTAAAATAAGCTACTTTCACCCATTAAAGTAACAAGAAAATTTAAAGGACTGATACTGTCCAATGTTGTTAAGAATTTAAAGGGCCGGGGATTTAGCTCAGTGGTTCCGCTGCCCGCCTCACAAGCACAAGGTCCCAAGTTTGATCCCCAGTACCAAAAAAAAAAAAAAAAAA